TGCTGGGACACACATTCCCGGGGCGCTAATCCGGGCTGCAAAATACTGGGGCAAGTGAAGGAGACAGTAATTCTGGGGCTGCGAGGTTGGGATGCCGGTGCTTTAGTTCAGCCATTCAGCAGTAACTCTGCCACATTATAATCATGACTATGGGGTGGTATTCGCTGAGAGAATGACCTGTGCCATCAGTGACCAGTTAGGTTTTTCAAAGAGCGGCACAAAGTGCTGTTAAGGATTCTTGCCTCCCGCGAGAGGTAGTCATGTCTGGAGCATTTTCGTGCAGGTCAAACACTGCCATGCTGTTACTTAGAGAGAAGTTGCTCATTGCTGGCTTTGTGTACTAGGAGGAAAAAAACAACACTGCTGCTTTTTGCTGTGTGATGGCCATGTTTTGTTTTGGGTTTTTTTATTGGTTAGTAGGAAGTTGTCAAAAAAAAGCATATTTAGGTTAATTTGGGGCTTGGGGGGTGGTCTTTCTTTGAAAACACCTGATAGCTGAAGGATTGTTCTGTTGTGTTCTTCCATTTCTTGCTCCCACAAATCTCACCTCGATTCCTTTCATTGGAACGTGAAGCTGTGGATGGCCAGGGAATGGCATGTCAGACCCAGATAGCTTGAGTGCAGCCAGTCTGATAGTTAAAAGGTTTATGTTTTTTCTGTTGGCTTTGACCTGGAAACTGCTCGTGTCTAATCAGCCCTGTAGAAAAGTGCGCACACACACAAAAACCCCATCCGCATGTTGGCAATGGTATATTTGTACACTCAAAATGAGACTGGATGCTAAACCAGAAGACCTTTAAAACTAAAATAGCCTGGTCGTTATAGGGGGTGGGTGTGTCCGCATTAAGGCTGCTGTGGCTGCTGCCGAGATAAGAGCCCCCGCGCAGCACATCCATGTGAATGCCAAGATAGGACGTTTAGGAACAACATCTGTTTGTGGAAACCATTGCGCACGTACTAATTTGTTGGCGCCAGCTTTGCCATGACACAGTCCCACTTGTGCACGACAGGCCTCCAAGCGCCCCCCCATCCCCCGGCTTTTTTGTTAAGCTCATGCCAACTAGTACCTGTGTTATTTAAACTAATGGCATTTTTCCTTTTTTCCATTTCCCACTGTAAAGGGAACAAATTGAGGGGCCTCCACCGATCAGTGCATGGGTGATAGCTAACCAGCATAAACATTCTACGGAACTTTTCCCTTGCACTTATTTGGGGCAGGAGGAGAGGAGGATCCCCGCTCTGATCGAATACGTAAATGGCAGAACATCCCTCCCCACTTCAGGCGGCATTCCCACCCCAGCGCAGCAGAGCTGGTGCTGACCACACTGTGCTGGAAAAAAAAATAGTCTTTCTGAGTGTATCGACCCTCTTTCCTTTTTCAGTTCTGGGAGGTGATAAGTGATGAACATGGCATTGACATCGCTGGGAACTACCGAGGGGATGCATCACTGCAGCTTGAGCGAATTAACGTGTACTTCAATGAGGCTTACTGTAAGTGCTCAGCACTGCTGGGGTGGCGGCAGAGAGATCTGCAGAGCCATCATGAAGGTTAAAATAAGTAATCAAAAAAAAACCAAACCCAAAATAAAAATCCCCCAAATAGGTGGGTTGGATAATTCAGAGTATAAACCATTCTCTTTGACTTCTAACAGTAATTGTTCGCATTCATTTTCTTGTGTCCTAGCTCATAAATACGTGCCCCGCTCTATCTTGGTGGACCTGGAACCCGGTACGATGGACAGCGTACGGTCTAGCAAAATAGGCCCACTCTTTCGACCTGACAATTTTATTCATGGTATGTACAGCACGCTGTCACCAAAGTAACTGGAGTCAACTGTCCCAAAATGGCCTTTTAACTCCCAACTTCGTAGCCTTTAAAAAATTCTCTTGTTAACTTTGTGGCTGTTCTTTCTGTAATTCTGTTTACAGGAAATTCAGGTGCTGGAAACAACTGGGCTAAGGGCCATTACACAGAAGGCGCTGAGCTGATTGAGAATGTCATGGATGTGGTCAGGAATGAGTGTGAGAGCTGTGACTGCCTTCAGGGATTCCAGCTCATCCATTCGCTCGGTGGTGGTACCGGCTCAGGTATGGGCACGCTCCTCATCAACAAAATCCGAGAAGAATATCCCGACAGGATTATGAACACCTTCAGTGTTGTGCCTTCGCCCAAGGTATCCGACACAGTTGTAGAGCCGTATAATGCCATCCTCTCCATCCATCAGCTAATAGAGAATACAGATGAAACTTTTTGCATCGACAATGAAGCTCTATACGATATATGTTTTAGAACTTTAAAGCTTACCAATCCCACTTATGGTGACCTCAACCACCTAGTGTCCCTAACGATGAGCGGTGTCACAACCTCACTCCGTTTTCCTGGTCAACTGAACGCAGATCTGCGGAAGTTGGCTGTTAACATGGTGCCCTTTCCTCGCCTGCACTTCTTTATGCCAGGCTTTGCTCCACTGACTGCCCGAGGCAGCCAACAGTACAGAGCCCTCTCGGTGCCAGAGCTTACTCAGCAAATGTTTGATGCTCGCAACATGATGGCAGCCTGCGACCCTCGTCGTGGACGTTACTTGACCGTGGCGTGCATCTTCAGAGGCCGAATGTCTACCAGAGAAGTGGATGAGCAGTTGCTGTCTGTCCAGACCAAGAATAGCTCCTACTTTGTGGAGTGGATCCCTAATAATGTCAAAGTGGCCGTGTGTGACATACCACCACGAGGACTGAAGATGGCAGCTACCTTTATTGGCAATAACACAGCCATTCAGGAGCTCTTCATCAGGGTTTCTGAGCAGTTCTCAGCGATGTTCAGAAGAAAAGCATTTCTCCATTGGTATACTGGTGAAGGTATGGATGAGATGGAGTTTTCTGAAGCAGAAGGTAACACCAACGACCTTGTGTCCGAGTACCAGCAGTACCAGGATGCCACTGCAGATGTTGAGGAATATGAAGAGGTAGAAGCGGAAGCCAGCCCAGAAAAGGAAGCATCGTAAAAACAATGGTAATATCAAAACAATCTCCAAATAAGCCCGTTGGCACTCACTAAAGAAACAACAGTAGCCATGAGATGCATACTGAAAATAACACCTTTCTTAAGAAGTTTTTCTCTGCACCTGGCCAAAGTATATCCAGTATTGCAATACAATGCTTTTGAAATTAACGGCAGCTATGCTTTACCCCCCTAAACAACTGGTGTCACTGAATCTCTCCCAAAAGAGCCACGATGAAGACAAGTTGTCTCATAACACCCTTTCTTGTACACGTATTCACTTGTAGTATACTATCACCAGATACGGAGTGCAATGCACAGCCTCTGTGTGTGTATATCAGGATCATAAGTGACAGCAAAATATGCCATCACCTCATCAGATTTATTTATTCTCAGGTAAACACAGTCGGTGTTTTGTTTGTGACCTCATTCCCAGTTTAGGAACACAGGCGCCCCAGCAAGGCCCGTAAGGGCAGGGGCTGTTGCGTTACACGCTGACCTACCTCTGAGGGGAGGGGAAACAACATGGGGCAAAAGACTGAATATGCACATTCTTACTTTTAAAAAAAGTATTTAATAGTTCTGTCACATTGCTGTCTTATATTATTGCAGAGCTTGTATTCATTATCATTGTGTGGGTTGCTTCTATTCTGAACTATAGGTTGAGTTATATTAGCAGACAAAGCTGTGAACACTCTGTAAAAGGTTTTAGTGTGTTGGGTTTTTTCCCCATGTACTAACTATTGTAAATTTTCTTCATATCATTCAAAATAGATGGAATGGTCTGCAGCTGGTTAGATGTAAGTTCAATGGCAATCACTAAATCAAAACCGTATCTTCACTTCAGGAAAAAAAAGTTTCTCGCCATTCTCAGCCATCTACTTAAGACTGTATTTATAATATTCTTTAAAATAAAAATGATATACCATTCTATTAAATACTTTATTACTTGAAACATTCGATAGACAAAAAGAGTAGTTTATTCTTGTAAGGACTAACTTTAAATTACATTAAAAAAATTATGCTCTTAAGAGTTTATTAAACCGTGAAGAAAGTAATGTTTGAGCCAACAGTAGAAGTGTCTCGTCGAACACAAACCGGAAGGCAATTCCATAGGCAAGCTGTACTCCTTCCTGTGCAGGGACCATCGGGGACATGCTGTGAGGACACACGGCACCTGCAAACTCTCCCCAAACCAACACTGCTGCCAGTGTGACTCCCCCGCCCCAGCCAAGGGCCACAGTGCCTCACCCTCCCTTCCTGCCCATTCCCAGTGAAGATGTCCCTCTCCCTCCCAGTAACGGGACAACCAAATGCTGAGCCATCAGAGTACAGCCCAGGGCTTCCTGCGCCCCCTTCCCCACCTCACGCAGGTCCCCAGGTCTCCAGCTCCAGATTCACTGCCCAGCGTTCCACACAGCTTTGGAGATTAGACCCCGTGCAGCACTCCCACAGCAAAATACCCCACTTCAGTTCAGTCTTCACCCTAAGCCTCGTTAAGTTGATTTTCACTGAGTTAGTTTTGTTCTAAGCACAAATAGAAGATGAACACCATGATGACAAAGATTTTTAAAGCCAACAGCGTGTCACTTCCAGCAGAGAGAACCGACAGAGCTATTTCTAATTATCGAAAATATATGCCTATATTCTCTGTTGACATAGGTTTTAGTGAAGAAAATTTTTCTCCAAAGTAATCATTAATCATTGAAATGACATAGGCAGAAGTTTTAAACAATTAAATCTCTCACTCATTGATGTACCTGAAATACCAGCATGAAATCCAACAACAGATTTGCCTTAAAATAAACATTATGTTGCTCTTGAATGGTAGACTGTGACAAAAACAGTCTTCTATTTCAAAACAATTGAAAGACAAATGTCTCTGTGAGGTGGAGTACTTCATTTCAAGAGGAATAACACTTTCCACACATTCATTTAACAGAAATTTCTTTTATTAGCATGCTGATTTACATACAGAGGCAAGTTTTACAGTTAATATGATGACATTATACCGCAGAGTCTTGAGCTTGCCTACAGCTTTGCAGTTTGATGTTACAGTATTCGCCACAGATCACTTCCTATGAGAGATTTAAAATACAAGTTATTTTATTCGACAGTATGGACTAGATACCCTTCAAACAAAAGGTAGCAACATTTAATCTCAGATCAGGAAGAGAAGCTGTTCTTAGAAGAGATTTCAACTGCTTGTGATACATGCAGTGTCACAAATAAAAGTACAAGTAGCATCTGTCTTTCACAGATGGCCGATAACCCTTACACAGATAAGTCTGTTGATCAGGCGAAACAGTAGTTCCGAGAGGCTGTCTCCTGGCTTACAGAAGAGACAGGATACCTATGAACATCACTACAGGAACTCAGCTGTTTTGCATAAGTCTGTAACAACTTTGACCAAGCCCCAAATCATTGAAAGCAGGGCTTGATGGAGAGAACATCTGACCGTAGCAAACTAATGAGATTATGCAGTTTCCTATCCCACCTGCAGTCAGGATGCAGACACCCGCGCACGGCCGCACTAAACCAGTCAGCAATCCCTCCAGTTTCACACATGAAGCTCAGAGCCCATTTTCCACACGAAATGAGCCAAGCAGTTAGACTGTCACTGACCCGGCTCACGCGGGAAGCCGACACTCCTCGTAGATAAAGCCACAACAAGGTGCCCCTGCCCGTTCAACTTACATTTTATTCTTTCTTAGGCTTCACAGTTTTCACAGTGGCCATGGCCGCCCTCTCGGCCTCCGCTTTGTATTGAGGCTTCATTGCCGCTCTGACCACCTGGGCGCAGATCTGGGAGTACCGGATGTAACTGGAGGCAGGGGGAAGCGAGAGTGAGATCAAACGCCTCACGAGGGCCCCTCCGTCCCCTCCAGAGGCACTACCGCGACCCCGCCATCCCGCCCCGCGAGGCCCTCGCCTCCGGCCGTTCCAGCTATCGCAAGCGAGTCGCGAGAGGC